CCCTGGGTAGAGTGCCGTGGCATCACAGCTCACAGCAACCTCCAACTCCCGGGCTCAAGCGAGTCTCCTGCCTCAGCCTCCCAAGTAGCTTGGACTACAGTTGCCCGCTATAATGCCTGGCTATTTTTTGGTTGCAGCCGTCATTGTTGTTTCGCAGGTCCGGGCTGGATTTGAACCCTCCAGCTCAGGTGTATGTGGCTGGTACCTTAGCAGGTTGAGCCACAGGCTCTGAGCCAGTATTTGAATAATTTATGTAAATACTTCCCCAACAGGGGTGGGGCTTACCCAACCTCCTTTTCCATAAGACGACTTAGTGACTCACTTACAAAGACTAAAATTACAGGCGGCTCCTGTGGCTCAGTGGGCAGGGTGCTGGCCTCATATACTGAGGGTGGCGTGTTTGAACCCAGTCCTGGCCAAACTGCAAAAAAATACAGCCAGGCATTGTGGAGGGTGCCTGTAGTCTCAGCTACTAAGGAGGCTGAGGCAAGAGAATCGACTAAGCCCAAAAGCTGGAGGTTACTGTGAGCTGTGATGCCATTGCACTCTACTCAGGGCGATAAAGTGAGGCTCTGTCTCTAAAAAAAAAAAAGACTAGAATATCTTGGGGAGTAAGGACTTGACAGCATAAAAATCAGCATGTAGTCCTCAGGTCAGCTGATTATGATTTATATCATTAGTGACAAGCATGTACCTGAAAAGAGGTGGTGAGACAGGCATGCACCTCTGTTATTCCCCAAAACACATAATACTAGTCAAAGCATGAAGAAAGTATCAGACAAATTAAGAGAGATTTTACAAAATACCTGATTAGCATTCCTTAAAACTGTCAAAGTAATGAAAATTAGGACATACAGTAACCCGGCATGTAATAAAATTTAAGGGTTAGTTAATAGTAATTTAGCAAAGTTGATTTATTAGTTGAAGTAAGTGTACTGCAATAAAGTAAGATTAACAATAACAGAAACTTGGTTCATGCTGTATATAGAAACTCTGTACTTGGTAAATCTAAAACCGTTTCAAAGGCTTGGCACCTGTAGCTCAGTGGCTAGGGCACCAGCCACATACACTGGAGATGGTGGGTTCGAACCCGGCCCAGGCCTGCCAAACAACAACAGTTACAACAAAAAAATAGCCAGGCATTGTGGTGGGCGCCTGTAGTCCCAGCTACTTGGAGGTTGAGGCAAGAGAATCTCTTAAGCCCAAGTATTAGAGGTTGCTGTGAGCTGTGATGCCACAACACTACTGAGGGCAACATAATGAGACTCTGTCTCAAAAAATAAAATAAAATAAATAAATAAAAATAAAACTGTTTCCAAAAATTTACTTTTTATATAAGTACATTTGGTGAATATAGAAAAATCAGGGAACTACGAATCTGAATGGAAACAATTGATGGTTATTGTTCATTCAACTATGTTCATTTTCTTGTAGGGAATTAAGTTTAAACGAATAGGTGTTCCTTCTCCAACAGAAATCATAAAAGCTTCCAGCAAAGATGCCATCAGGTATGTTCTCTATTAACACTGTAGTTTTAATGTTTATTCTGTATGTGGCGTTTTTTTGATAACCTACATATTATAAAACCCAGCTTTGCTAAAGTAGAATATTACAAAGTAAAGGTCATTGCTACTTGTCCCTGCCTAGTCTTCCTCACCAGAGGAAACGACTATTAATAGTTTAGTTTGTCGTAGACATTTTAAGGTGGGGGTCCTCACACTTTTTAAACAGGGGGCCAGTTTGCTGTCCCTCAAACCGTTGGAGGGCCAGACTGCAGGCCCCAGGATGAGTTGGCTGCTGCTAAGCAGGATAGGCAGCGGCCGCAAAAGCACCCAGCGGGCTGGATAAATGTCCTAGGCAGGCCACAGGTGGCCCACAGGCCATAGTTTGAGGACACCTGTTTTAAGGAATAGTAACGTAAAAAGCAGTGCTTCCCACTTAGCCACTGATTAGAGTGGATAGCAGATTACATTCCAAATAGACATTGATCTAGTCCCTGACTTTGTAGAATAAGATATAGGAGGCACCTGTGAGAAATACCTTGGGTTTAAGGGATTTAACATCATTGGTTTCTCGTTAAAGAGCACTAGAGCGGCTCGGCGCCTATAGCTCAACCGGCTAAGGCGCCAGCCACGTACACCTAAGGTGGCGGGTTCGAATCCCCAGCCCGGACCCGCCAAACAACAATGAAGGCTGCAACCAAAAAATAGCCGGGCGTTGTAGCGGGCGCCTGTGGTCCCAGCTACTTGGGAGGTGGAGGCAGGAGACTCGCTTGAGCCCGGGAGTTGGAGGTTGCTGTGAGCTGTAATGCCACCGCACTCTACCCAGGAGGACAGCTTGAGGCTCTGTCTCAAAAAAAAAAAGAGCACTAGAGCACGTAACAGCATGTGACAAGAACACCAAAATTATTGCATAGCAGTCTCCACACCTGTGGTGGAGTACTTCTATAAATAACCTCAGGAGAACTGGAGAGAAAGAGAACTAGGACTGACAGACTGCCTGCTGAGTTACTCGCTCCTACTAATTGACCGTGACTTCTAAGGTGCTTTAGCACCTGAGACCTGAATGAGACCTAGCAGCGGTCCACATCAAGATAGTTTCGTGGGCTGGGGCCAGAGACCTAACAATCTGGCTCCCTGAGACCCTGCGTCCCTGGGCTCTTGACAAGTGGCGACCACTAAGAGTTGATTTTTATTTTTTTTTCCTCGAAACAGAGTCTCACTCTGTTGCCCTAGGATAGAGTTGCCTGACGTTAGTCTAGCTTACAGCAACCTCAAACTCCTGTGTTTCAAAGGATCCTGCCCCAGCTTCCCAAACAGCTGGGACTACAGGCAACTGACACAATGCCTGGCTTCTTTTTCTTTTTTTCCCAATTGTGAAAGTTTATTGAGGAAGAGAAGAGTTTTCAGGGTAAGAACAGAATAATAGGCCTACAAGCCAGGTGCAGTGGCTCACGCCTGTAATCCCAGCACTCTGGGAGTCTGAGGGCGGAAGATTACTTGAGCTCAGGAGTTTGAGACCAGCCTGAACCAGAGCGAGACTCCATCTCTAAAAAATAACTAGACATTGGGTGGCACCTGTGGCTCAAAGGAGTAGGGCTCTGGCCCCATATGCCAGAGGTGGTGGATTCAAACTCAGCCCTGGCCAAAAAATAATAATAATAACTAGACATTGTGGTGGGCGCCTGTAGTCCCAGCTACTCAGGAGGCTGAGGCAAGAGAATCACTTGAGCCTAAGAGATTGAGGTTGCTGCGAGCAATGACACCATGACACTCAACCCCAGGGGGACTTAGTGAGACTGTCTCAACAACAACAAAAAAAGATACAGGCTTACAGAGCAAGATATATTCACCATTGACAGGAAACAGATCTCTACTGTTACAACAAAGAAAAGGACTGATTTTTCTATTCTTAGTAGAGTTCTTGTTCTTGCTCAGGCTGGTCTCAAACTCCTGAGCTCAAGGGATCCTCCTGCCTTGGCCTCCCACAGTGCTAGGATTACAGGCATGAGCCACCATGCCTGGCTCTGATTCCTGAAGTTATAATAAATATCTAGATGTTGAGGATTGGGTTAACAGTGTTTGTCTGTGGAGGTGCTACTGGAATTGGGGAACCAGACAGTTATTTTTTTGTGGGATTGTCCTTCAAATTGAAGGATCATTAGCTATTTAGGATAAGTAGCTATTACTGGATAATTCCCCTGTGTAGCATTCTTTTGGGGGTGTGACTTTTTTTTTTTGAGACAGAGTCTCACTATGTTGCCCTGGGTAGAATGCCATGGCGTCACAGCTCATAGCAACTTCCAACTATTGGGCTTAAGTGATTCTCTTGCCTTAGCCTCCCAAGTAGCTGGGACTACAGGCGCTCACCACAACACCCAGGTGTTTTTTGGTTGTAGTTGTCATTGTTGTTTGGCAGGCCCGGGCTAGATTTGAACCTGCTAGCTTGGGTGTATGTGGCTGGCGCCCTAGCTGCTTGAGCTACAAGTGCCAAGCTGGGAGGTGTGACATTTCATTGTATCTTTTTTGTAGTTTATGTAAACATTCTATACTGATGCACATTTTAAAATTGTTTCCACTTTTTATATAAGTAACACTGATGATATAATTGCTGTATTCCTGGCTCAGCACTTGTAGACCACATATACCAGGAATGGAGGGTTTGAATCCAGCCTGGGCCTTCCAAACTATGACAACTACAACAAAAAAAATAGCTGGGCATTGTGGCAGGCACCTGTAGTCCTAGCTACTTGGGAGGCTGAGGCAAGAGAATTACTTAAGTACAAGAGTTAGAGGTAGCTGTGATCTGTGACGCCCTGGCACTCTACTGAGGACAACATGATGAGGCTTTGTCTCAGAAAAAAAAGATGATGTGTTAGCCATGTGAAAGATTTGGTTTGAAAATTTCTGGTGCTTTATCTTGGAAATGAAATTTATTCACTTCCTCTGTCCTTTCTTCTGACAAATCTGTCCTCAATCAAACTGTAGACTTTTGGATTCTGTGCCTCCTACTGCGATAAATCACTTCAAGGAGTCAGCAGAGAAGTTGATAGAGGAGAAGGGAGCTGTGGAAGCCCTTGCAGCAGCACTCGCCCATATTTCAGGCGCCACATCAGTAGACCAACGCTCCTTGATCAACTCAGATGTGGTAAGGTTCCTTGTCACATTCCTGACACTACTATAATTTGGGTTTGTGTAGGATATAGAAGCATCCTAATTAAGCTTCTCAGTTGTTTTCACTTCCTCATGAAGGTGCTAACGTATTAATTGTATTTTACAATTTCCTTATATATGCACATCCAAATCCATGGAGGCAGATAACAGATTAGTGGCTGGATGGGGAGAGAGGAATGGCAGTGGCCAATAATGGGCATAGGGTTTTTGGAGGGTGATAAAATGTTCTGGAATTTTAGATAGTTGTGATGGTTGCAAACCTTATAAATACACTAACTACTTAAACACTGAATTGTATACTTTAAAATGGTGACTTCTGTGGTATGTGAATTAGATCTTAATTTTTTAATCCTAAAAACCCCAAACAAATACAGTAGGAACCTTGATAGTTGACAACCTCCCTATAATGACCACCTCCTTAAGTTGACCTAATTTTCATAGATGAGAAGTTCCTCATGTTGACCAGTTTGTTACAGCCCCTTGGGTGGTTAACTTTTAGATGTTTTACTGTGTATGCATAAATGCATATTAAGAATGTGTCTAGGGCGGCACCTATGGCTCAAAGGAGTGGGGCGCCAACCCCATATACCTGAGGTGGCAGGTTCAAACCTGGTCCCAGCCAAAAATGGCAAAAAAAAAAGCAAAAAAATGTGTCTCAGGTGTATATCTGCTTTTAGGAATGACTTTTTAGAAATATTTTAGAATCATGAGAGCAGGTATTTATTAATTAGGTTTGTTTTTGCGACTTTAATTTTGTTCTGCTTTCTTCCATTAGGGTTTTGTGACCATGATCTTGCGGTGCTCAATTGAAATGCCAAATATTAGTTATGCGTGGAAAGAACTTAAAGAGCAACTGGGAGAGGATATTGATTCTAAAGTGAAGGGAATGGTCTTTCTCAAAGGAAAGCTGGTAAGACTGGGTCCTCCTGTAACCTTGCTTTGGTGCAGGAGCCGTATGTGGGCAGGAAAACAGGATGGTAGCTTCTTTCCGTTCCATCCATGGGGATGCTGCATCTTTTCACCCTCCAGTCTTCCCTGAGCAGTCTCTCCCATGACCCTCAGTTGCTACTCCGTTATTGATAGCTACTATCTCTGGAGGTCCAGCTGTACCCCTACATCTCCACCTTGATGCTTTAATTAGTAACTCAGAAACCTGAATGAAAATTCAAAATTTTAAAATTTGCTTCTTCTGAGTCCTGCTCTTGGTTAATGGCATAGACTGACGCAGTAATTCTCAAGCATTATGGTCTCATGATCCCATTACAGTCTTAGCAAATGTTGGGGTCCCACAAAAGATTTTGTTTATATGGGTAACATCTTGATATTTACTGTTTAGAAACTTTTTAAACTGGAGCTCTAGAACACAATATTGTGTTCCATTAGCCATCAGAGCAACATCATCATCACATGTCATATAGCCTCTAGGAATTTCCATTGTATCCTTAAAAGAGCGAGCGTGACAATGACAGATAGCTAAATATTATTATCATGAAAATAATTTTGACTATGACAGATCTCAGGTTTCCAGGGATGCGTGGACTATACTTGGAGATCACTGCCCTAGTAAACCAAATCAAGATTATCTTCAGTTCATTGTATGTCTCCTTAAGCAACTCCATATAACCTATGGGATAAAGTGCCAACTCTTTCATCGGGAGGATAAGATCCTTCATGTCTTACCCTCTGCCCCCCTTACCAGCTCCATCTCTCCCTTACCACCAGCACTCTTTATTCCAGCAATGCCAGGTATACCATGGTTTATCTCAACCTCAGTGCATGCTGAACCCACTGTTTGTAGTATTTTTTTTTCCTCCACAGTATCTTTTGTGACTTAGTCTTAAATCTTACTAGCCAATTAAGGGCATCTGTACTTCAGAGTATTTAGCATGTAAGTTTATTTGAGTAAATTTTGCCTGGCTGTGTTTGCTTACTGAGCGCCTCAAGAACACTGACCTACTGAAGGGCAAAAACTATTATCTGGTTATCTCCATACCTCAACAAATGGCTGGAATTATACTCTAAATGAATAGTATGTATGTGAGTGAACATTCCTACAAAAGGCAAAATCTACCAGTACCTGATGATACTTGTGTTATTGGGCAAATTGTTGGGTGGAAGGGGTGTTCCTCATAAATAGTCAGCGAAAGACATCAGGGAGAGGAGTGTGTGTGTCAGTTAACAAGTGAGTTTGGCCATATTTGCTGATGACTTTCATCATTGGAAAGAATTAATTAATTAATTTGAGACAAAGTTTCACTATGTTGCCCCAGGCTAGAGTGCCACAATGTCCAATAGCTGACAGCAACCTGAGCTCAAGTGATCCTCCTGCCTCAGTTTCCCAAATAGCTGGGCCTACAGGCGCCCACCACAATGCCCTCTGCTAAGCTTCTCCCTCCTCTCCATTTTTAATATAGATGGCATCTTGTTCCTCCTCAGGCTGCTCTTAAACTTCTGAGCTCAAGCAATCCACCTGCCTCAGCTTCTCACAGTGCTGGGATTACAGGTGTGAGTCGCCACACCCCACCATAGAGAATACTTTTTTTTTTTTTTTTTTGAGACAGAGCCTCAAGCTGTCCCTCTGGGTAGAGTGCCATGACATCACAGCTCACAGCAACCTCCAACTCGTGGGGTTAAGCGAGTCTCCTGCCTCTGCCTCCCAAGTAGCTGGGACTACCGGCGCCCCCACAATGCCCAGCTATTTTTTGGTTGCAGCCGTCATTGTTGTTTGGGGGGCCAAGGCTGGATTCAAACCTGCCATCTTAGGTATTTGTGGCTGGCGCCTTAGCCACTTGAGCCACAGGCGCCGAGCCAGAGAATACCTTTTAAACACCTGCTTCACTTGATAGCTGCAGCCTCTTTACTTGGCTAAAAAAATGTAGCTAATCTCTACTCAAGGGCAAGCACAGTATAATAGCCAAAAATTGATCATTTAATGTGCATTGGTTGGATTAACTTCCATTTGCTTTGGTTTTGTAGGGTGTCTGCTTTGATATACCTACCGCATCAGTGACAGAAATACAGGTATTCTTTTCTCATGGATTTTAAAGTTAACATACTTAAATTGTAAAATGTTTATGAAAATATGGAATAATAGATTGGGAAACAATAGTAGTCTACTTACTAAAAGACAATTGAGAATTCAATTTTTGTATTTTTTTCTCCTAACCTTACCCCCCCTCTAGTGGCAAGTTCTCTCTCTGTTGCCCAGGTCTCAGTGCAGTGACACATTCATATCTCAAAGATGGGTTCTCACTGTGTGTTGCTCAGGCTGATCTCAAACTCATGTGATCCTCCGGCCTTGGCAGGAATGACAAAGTGCTGGGGTTACATGAGCCTCCATGCCTGGCCTCGCCTCACCTTTTTAATCTGTTTTTTTGTTGTTGTTGTCGTTACTGAGTCCATCCGGTTTCCCGTTGTTTTATTTCTTTTTTGAGATGGAGTTTCACTTTGTCGCCCTAGGTAGATGGCCATGGCGTTATAGCAACCTCAAACTGTTAGGCTTAAGCGATCCTCTGGCCTCAGCCTCCCAAGTAGCTGAGAATACATGCTCCTGCCACACCACCTGGCTATTTTTCAGGTGTAGTTGTCATTGTTTGGCAAGCTGGGCTGGATTCCAACCTGCCATCTCTGGTATATGTATGGCGCCCTAGCTGCCCAGCTATAGGCGCTAAGCCTTTTTTGAAACAGTCTCACTATACTGCCCTTGGTAGAGTGCCATGGAATCATGGCTCAGCTCATAGCAACCTCAAACTCTTGGGTTTAAGTGGTTCTCTTGCTTCAGCCTCGTGAGTAGCTGGGACTACAGGTGCCTGCCACAACACCCGGCTGTTTTTTGGTTGCAGTTGTCATTATTGTTTAGGTGGTCCGGGCCAGGCTTGAATCCACCAGCCTCGGGTGTATATGGTCGGCACCCTCTTCACTGAGCTACAGGAGCCAAGCCTCTGGTAGTGAAACTCGTTTTTCTATACTTTAGTGAACTGACTTTTGGTCAGTGAAGGTCAATATTATTTTAACCATTAACCTTTTAAGCACTTACGCTACCAACCTGGTTTTTCATTGAAAAACTAGAGAAAAAATGTTTTTCTTAAACCTTTTTAAATTAAATTGATTGGTAAAACCAAAAAATGTTCTCTCAATAGGAGAAATGGCATGATTCACGACGCTGGCAGCTCGCTGTGGCCACAGAGCAACCAGAGCTGGAGGGACCAAAAGAAGGATATCGAGCCTTTAGGGGTCAGCGGGAAGGAAACAGAAACTTCAGGGGACGGCGGGAAGGAAACAGAAACTTCAGGGGACAGCGGTCAGGAGGTGGCAACAGAAGTAACAGATCCCAAAACAAAGGCCAGAAACGGAGTTTTAATAAAGCATTTAGTAAATAATTAGATGTAGAGGATTTTTATAGTAAAAAAAATTATGTTTGGCAATATAAAACCGAACATTATTTTTCATATAAAGTAACTTTATTGCTACTTCATCCGGTTTTCCTTTTGAAAAGGTGTTGGAAATTCATTTTATTTTTATTCTGATGCATTGTGTATAGGTTACAAGATAAAATCAAGCATGTTTCTGACTACTTTGTAAGTTGACTTACCTTTATATTTAAAAATGTCTCTTAATAGGGTCCTTCCTTAAATACTTAAAGGAATGTAACAGTCTCTGGAGGACCACGTTGAGCCTTTGGAAGTCAAACTTCTATAATTGGCATCTCTCACCACCTGCCAGCAGTTACTCATGTGGTTCTATAACCTGTTTTCTGAGACTTCTTACTGAGCAATGATTTGAAACAAGGTTTCATACTTAGCTGTGTTGTAATACAGTATATGCCACTATGTGCTTTAGGTTTGGAGGATGTAGTAGTACATCAATATAGGATACTTGTAATTATATGCATTTTGATACATTTTAGCTTCTCATAAAGTGATTCATATATCCATGAATTCTTCACCGATAGTATATATAGAAGTACATTTTAATAGAAAGCCACTGTCTTTAAGGAATTCTAAATATGTGATAGCTCCGTAGCTTTCTTTTGTAAGTAAGAAAGCTGGATAAATGGTGCTTAAGTGACAATGTACTCCACTTCTTCCGAATGGAAGATTAACATTATTTACAAAGAGGGAATTGGGGGGGGGGGCACAGATTAGCATTGTTGTAAAGTATGTCAAAAAATAAAAAACCCTACTGGAATATTCTTTACATGCAAGAGGGAAACATTCATAAACATGGAGAGCAAAGAGAACAAATAAAGGTGCCTTACTAAACATTCTTTTAATTGTGAAAACGTAATGGATCATTAATGTTTCCACAGGTTAAATTCTAATGGGCGAGACCTGATTTTTAGGTGGAATGATGCAGTTCAGCTTCTCAGTGGCTTCATTACTAAAGCTGCTGTGTAGAATCTATTTCTGCTAAACAGCTTCTCTGGTGAAAGGTTTTTAGCACCTTAGATACTTCTCTTTTATGACAAACTGTATGGTTATTTAAAGTTGTTTTGAGGGAGCTGAAGAGTTTAATGTAACCCTAAGCTAGATAACTCTCTTCCTGATTTTTCAGATATTATTTCTCTGGGAAACATTCCACATAGCACAGGAGCTTGAGAGTGGCATTGTCTTCTTGCCTTAATTCCTAGAGATTCTATACTGAGAATCCTGGAATAAACTATGCTAGGAAAATTAAAACTACATGGTCTGTCTTATTGTTTTCATTCAGTGTGAACAACTAAAATTGTTTTAGGCCCTGGTTTCTCTTGCGCTATCTCTAACTACTGTTTATTTGATCACCTTGCACTAGGGCTCTGATTGCCATCTTAACTCCTGATCCTTCAGGCAACATTCTTTTTGTATATGAATTCTATCCTTGAATCCTGACAAAATCTTTCTTGCCTCTGTTGTCAGAATTCTCTTACTAACAACCAAAACATTTAATGATTTGGGTAGGAATGGGTGCTTTATCAAGCAGATTAAAATGATATGTATGGTACCTATTCTTTAGGAAGGAATAGCTAAAACTTGATGTGAATTATAGACTAACCAAAAAAAAAATAATCAGACATAAATCAGGAGTAATAGAGAAATTAGTAGGAATTTTCACTTCACACAACTCAATTTTAAGAAAAACAAAATTGGCTGGGCGCCTGTGGCTCAAGCGGCTAAGGCGCCAGCCACATACACCTAAGGTGACGGGTTCGAATCCCCAGCCCGGCCCGCCAAACAACAATGACGGCTGCAACTAAAGAATGGCCGGGCGTTGTGGCGGGCGCCTGTAGTCCCAGCTACTTGGGAGGCTGAGGCAGGAGACTCGCTTGAGCCTAAGAGTTGGAGGTTGCTATGAGCTGTGATGCCATGGCACTCTAACCAGGGGGATAGCTTGAGGCTCTGTCTGGAAAAAAAAGAAAAGAAAAAGAAAAGAAAAACAAAACTGTTACAGTAAGTGAAACTAACATTTTTCCTGGATCCCAGAATTCAAACCATATTTTAAATGTGTAATGTATTCAACTTCTACTTGGTTTAAATAGACTTGTTGAGGTAGCCTGGGAAATGTTATCATTTTTACTGTTTTCTACAGAGAAACTATTTTCCAATTTATGTATCATACAACTCAGAGGACTTGAATCCATTCTTAAGTTTGAGCTATTTGTGCAGCAGTTACTTTACAGTTGTACATAAAATGTTTTTACTGTAAGATGAGTTAATGAATAAAATACTGCCTTATGGCACAATAAAGACAGTTACACTTTATTTTTGGTGGCTTTTTGTTTTCTAAAATGAAAATAGCTTGATATATTAAGAAAATAATAAAAGCTTAGTGTAAAAATTTAAACATAAAAGTAAAAAATAGCCAGGTGTTGTGGCAGGCACCTGTAGTCGCAACTACTTGGGAGGCTGAGGCAAGAGAATCGCTTGATCCCAAAGAGTTTGAGGTTGCTGTGAGCTGGCACTCAGTGAGGGCAACATAGTTAAACTCTGTCTTAAAAAATAATATATAGAAATAAACAAAAGTTACTCCATATCTAACATTTTGGTGACCAGTTTTGTTTTTTTGTGACAGTGTCTCACTCTGTCACCTTCAGTAGGTGCCATGGTGTCATTGCTCACAGCAACCTCCAGCTCTTGGGCTTAGGTGATTCTCTTGCCTCAGCCTCCCAAGTACAGGTGCCCACCACAACACCTGGCTATTTTTTGT